AGCCTTACATATCTGATACTGAAAAGCCAAAGAAGCGCTTGCAGATCTGGAAGAGTGCACCTGGACAGGAAAGGGTCCTTGAGATCATAAGCTTGAATGATGGTGTGTCAGAGCCACCTAGAGATGTTGCAACAGGAAGCAGGGGCACTCTTCCAGGATCCATCCAGGATGACAAAAGGGGAATTAGTCTTTCTGAAGGAAGCAGTGGCTGAGAGATATGCTCACACAGCCTGAACCACATCCCCACAATGGAAGTCAATTACCTTATGATGAATGTAAACCTGACAGAAGAATGGAAGAACAATGTCCTGGTTGATGTGAAAGGCAGAACATACCTTAGGCAAGAAGGAAGTCATGGGTATCAACACCACCTTGTCCTTATGCAGAATTAAAAATTGTTTTTGTTTTGCAAGGTAAAGCCACCAGCTCAGACACTTTCCTCACCAAGGTGGTGGGTACAAGAAAAACCACCTGGTGGGTTAGAGAGACAAATGTCTCTAATGGGCTCAAACCCTAGTGTAGAGAAAACCAGATTCTGCTCCAACGTAGTCACAGGGAAACAGACAAATAGAGCTACATGAGAGACCCCCTGTACAAAGGTCTTAAACAGTGAGAGGCCCACAGTCTCTGAAGCAGAATAGACAGGCAGACCTTGATAGTGCTGAGAGCCAAACACCAGTCCAACCCCAGCTACAGAAAGGAGAGGATCTGTGCCTTGGAGAAGCTTCTGGGGTGAACGCCCTGAGACTCACACCAAGTAAAGTATCAGTGATAAACTTTGCAGGAAATAGACTTCCTAGCTATTATCACTGACTGATGCTCCTGTTCTTTAGAACCTGGGCTTCAAAAACCATGCCCTTCAGCCTGTGACCGAGAAGCAGGAAGGCAAATTAGCCCTTTGGACAGAAGGTCCTGATGATCCGGCAGTGCTAACGCAAACATCTGAAAGAAGTCTTAACAGATTGGTGTACCACATTTACCTGGGCCAGTGCAGAGTAATCATGATCACCAGAATGATCTCCATCTTGATCCTGCAGAGCAAACAAGGAATACTAGTTTGGAAAAATAAATGCATAGATTAGGGTGTACTGTGTCAGTCAGAATGACAGAAGTTAGAATGAGGATGACTGTGTCAGATAACTGCATGCAAATCAGTGGGAAACCTCCGGGAGGAGGTTACACTGCACACTGACGGAGCTGGCACAACACACTAGCCTACCAATGGGCTAGTATGAAGGGGCCCTATAGAAAAGAAAACCCCCTTCACAGGCCATTTTTGTGAGTGGATAAAGTGAGGAGTCTATGTATAGCTGAAATGTTTAAAAAAAAATTTGGATAGAGAGGGGAAAGGTACAAACCCGTTAGGTTATTTATTTTTTTTTAGCCTTCTTTGTACTATTGGGAAAATGTCCCTTCATTTTGCATCCCAGACAGGGCCGGATTTACTCCTCCTGCCGCCCCAAGGCCAGGTTCCACAATACGCCCCCTCCCCACCAACCCCCCCTCCCCATCAATTGAGAATGGCAACCAGATGGCAGGGTGGGGGGGCGTATTGTGGAACCTGGCCTTGAAGCGGGGCTAGTTTCAAGTTTTTTTTTTACTGTTTCTTTATTTTTATCACTTTTTATTTTTTTATTCAATTAAGAGAACCAACAGGAAGTTATAGGAAATCTTCCAAAGTGAGGGAAATTACCCTCGTAGACAGTTGTCGCCACTGGAAGATTTTGCCTCACATTTTTTTCTTCAACATCTACAATGATTTGTTCATTCAATATGGTCAATTTCCACTTATCACTATTTCATTTGAATAGTCCCTCTGCTATAGGGAATATCATATTATATGATTTAATGTTGTCTTATAAGTTAAAACCCAGGCTGTACATGTATCCCATATTCATTTACACGAGCAATAAGGCCTTATAGATAACAATTCTGTCTGTTTCTTATTGAAATTACCTAAATGAGGGATACAATTTGTTGCCATGCCCATCTCTAATATTGTGCTGCTTACTTTGTGTATAAATATGGTCCTATGTTTATAGTGTTGTGGGGCCATGGGGAACAAAAGTAGCCACCCTCCAGAAGGAAGGACAGTGTCAGCACCAATTCAGAGATGATTGGAGGATCTACAGCCGAGTGACACACAAATAAGATACGCTTTTGTTCATAGTTAAGGTTCTTGGATGTATTTTTAAGATTTAACTCCTGAGTGTAGTGTCACATGGGGGTAGGGATGCCCCGATACCGATGCTAGTACCGGTATCGGGCCGATACACGGCATTTTCAGGAGTACTTGTACTCCTGAAAATGCCCCGATGCCTAGATCAGATACCGGGCGTTTAAATTTTTTTAACTAGCTTTGGCCATTGACCCCCATAGCCCCTCCCCCGGAATACCTCTCCACCAAACGAGGCTTCCTCTCCGCTCTGACCTCTCCGGAAGTGTGACAGCATGGCGGGGGTAAGTGTTGTGTGGACAGTCTCTTCTCTTCTCCCTGCTGGTGCTGGCTGCAGAGCTCGGTGTCCCTTTCACAGACCTCTGTAGCCAGCACGATAAAGGCAGAAGAGACTGCAGCTGTGATCCCCCGCTGCCCCCCTCCCCCCTGTATGCTCCTCCGTGTCCCATCCTTTTCAACTTTATTAATCGGTTTCCTTTTGGTGATATATCTCAGTGTGAGATGCCCGTGCTCCTTGCTGCACAGCAGTTTTCACTCTCATTGTAAGAAGAGAATGTCCGTTCAGTGTGCTCACGGGGGAGAAGCTGTAAATCTCACCTTCACACAGAACGGACATTCTCTTCTTTCATTGAGAGGGAAAACTTCTGTGTGGGTCTGGTAAGAGCATTATTATTAAACACATAAGGAGCATGGACATCTTACACTGAGATATACCACCAAAAGCAATCAGTTTCATCAAGTGGAAAAGGAATGGACACTTGTAACAACAGACAGCCTGCTATTGGATATTTTAAATTGCAATAGCCAATACCAGGCTGGCTATTGTACCCCCTCCCCATTGCCTGCTGTAAATCAGAAGAGAGGACCTGATTGAGAACTTCGTCTTCAGTTCCCTCCTTTGCTGATTGACAGTAGGCAGCGGGCAGGTACAATAGCCAGCCTGCTATTGAAATTTAAAATATCCAATAGCAAGCGGGCTATTGCTCCCAGCAACTGACTGCTGTATTTACAATCAGTGAATCCAGTGAAGTAGAAAGGTGACACTAAAGGTCTAAAAGACCCCTAATGTCACCTTAAAGAGAACCTGTCACCTCCAATGCACACAGCACTGGTGAGAAACTGCCCTAAAATCATTAGTCTGTATTGTTTTATAAAAAATGTCACATGTCCCTTTAAGAAAAAGTATCGGTAATTGGTATCGGCAAGTACATAAGGGACAATACTTGGTCTTGAAAAAGTGGTATCGGGACATCCCTAGGGTATATGGTTGGCATCAGGACATGAAGGCAGGTAGAGAAATAGAAAAGGGTAGACCTAACAGGGTTTTTATGCTTCTGTTTTGGTCTTTGTCCCTGTTGTAGAGAAATGCCCCCCAACAGAGACACAGATGACAAGTACCTAACAGTTTATCATGAATGCAGCTGGTAGACTCATCCACCCAACACCAACCACTCTGCAACCCCCCCCTCTGCCAATCCCTGCACTGGCTTCCATCCTCCACCCCCTCTGCCAATCCCTACACTGGCTTCCAATAGCCCAAAGGATAAAATTCAAAATATTAACAATCACTTGCAAAGCCATCCACAACTCTGCCCCCAGATATATCGCAAACCTTGTCTTAAAATATCACCCTAACCATCCCCTCTGCTCCTCCCAAGACCTCCTGCTTTCCAGCTCCCTTGTCAACTCCTCCCATACTCGCCTCCAGGACTTCTCTAGAGTCTCTCCCATCCTCTGGAACTCTTTACCCCAACCTGTCCATCTACCTCCCACCTTGACTGCCTTTAGGCGATCCTTAAAGACTCATCTCTTCAGGGAAGCCTATCCCACCTCAACCTAACCACTGAACCTTCACATTCTCAAACAATTCATGCCCACACAGCTACCTCCTCATGTATCACTTCTCCCTCCCTTTTAGATTGTAAGCCCTCAGGGGCAGGGCCCTCCTTACCATCTTGTCTTGAAATTGTATTGTGATTGCAATGACTTCCTTATATTGTAAAGCGCTGCGCAAACTGTTGGCGCTATATAAATCCTATATAAGAACAAAAATAGAGGCTCTAACCCTCTCACTGTATCCAAAACAACATGGATAATTGGAATTTAATTACCTATATATGAACATCATATTTCCTTTCATTATGGGAAGGATATCTTTATAACATACTTGAGTGCTAAACAAAACCGAGTATGGCAGGTAAACAGCAAGTTTAAAAAAAACAAAAAACATTTATTAAATTGACAGACCAATTGGCTAACATTTGTATTAATCGGTGGGGCGAGGGTAACCTGTGATCAAAAGGAACTACACTTTTACATTTAAAAAAAAGTGCTTTTGCAATAAGCAAAACAGAATATATTTTTTGTTTATTGTCCTCTTTCATCTAGAAACAATCGGAAACATCTCAGAGTATGACCAGCCCTTCTCCTCACTGTTATCAGCAATAATTTGGATAAAAGATACAAAAATACAAATCGGTTAATTTAATGAAAATCAAATGACAACCAGAATCAGAATTAAATTTTATTCTTCCGCGTAGTCTTGACAGACCGTAAAAAAAAGTCACATTCTATACCAGGGCTGGAAAACTGAACATTCATGACGATGAAGAGCACACAGATTTTGCATAATTGAAATGAAATTGAGAAGCCCCATTTTGAGAAACCAGTTGGCATCTAATGGTACCAGGTGTGCCGCCTTGAGCTTAGTCTACCATATATGAAACCAGCACAGGTTTACCGCAACTTTATCATTATAAATGCGCTTCATATAAGTTTAACGGTAGAAATTCAGCCCAGACTAGCTACGTCATCCCTATTTTATTCAGGTTTGCAATTTGGCCAACTTCTCCAGCTTGGGTACAAATCTTGACTTACTCAGCACCAAAATGCCAGGGCCATTGCTCTTGAAGTTATATCCAAGTTGTTCCAACACTTTAACCTTGTTTCTTAAGGTGGGCAAACTGACTTCTAACAAGGAATGAGTGTCAAGTATTCTTAGAGTTTCAATACCACAATCTAGAAGCAGGTTGATCTTGCAGGTGAAGACATTAGGCGATAGGAGCAGGACGCTTGGACATTTAATAATGTAGTTGGTCACATCCTCCTCCAGATAACCTAAAGATTGCATTTTCTGATGAATGTGTAAAAAATTTTCTTCGAGGTACATATTGCATAAGTTGAGAACGTGAGCCGCTTCACCTTGGAGCCAAGAGAGCAGGTCCTGGTTCTCCAACTTCATGAGGGACTGTATGGACTCTATATTGGCCTTCAATCTCTTTGTACTTCTTGTTAAGATAAAAATATTACTGGTGATGACCTGCCTGACAAAATCATCGGGGTCTTCCCCTCCCATGTGCACACAGAGCTCTCGCAGAAAGGCCACCTTATTTTTGTTGAGTTCAACGCTGTAAGACAATGTCCGCGGTGACTTGACCACGAGCTCCCTCAGAATTTTGGGTGTCAACCCAAGAGAATAGAGCAAGGAAAGGTTTTCGGACAACTTCTCAACACCGCCTGATCGGAAGAAGGACTCCGGAGAGCGTTCAATGATCATCAAGATGGCTGCCTCTGTTTGCAAGACACTTTGCCACAGATCCCAAACTTCAGCTATGTCTTTGAAACGGAGAGTAATGGACTTTGGATACCTTGAAATTATATTTTCAATAGACAGCTGGTCTGCCCCTTTCTCCAGCAAAAACTTCTCGAGTCTTTCCCTGTATATGGCATGTTTGACGATGGATGTGCGCCGCCCTCGGACTGTTCCAACGCCTGTATCCGTGACCTCAGGATTATGCAACTGCGACACAGTTTCTGTCTTTCCATCCTGGCCTGAAAGTTCTTGAGTGTATGACCGTCCCAAGAGTATCCCAAAAATTCCAGGGTTTAAAAGGCCGGTTCTGTGTGAATTTTTCAGGCAATGTCCGGTTATGTTCATTAGAATTTTAAGAGCCATAGTTCGCAGTCTGTGTTCCTGCAACTGAACAAAATATAAATTCTCAGTTCTATAAGAAGTTAATTGAAGCAATTTGGCAAAGATTTCTATAAGCCAACAGACATTTGTTTTAGGAAACCAAATAAACCTCCAAGTCTAAAAGGTGCCCATCGTATGATAATCGGCAGGTGTATGGGCAGCGTGCAACCGCATCGACTGTACGGTCACATGACTTTCGTCTTCCTAGCATGCAGGAAAACCCGTACGATTTTTGGCGGTTTGTTTAGCGTGCTCGGAAGACGAAAGCCGCACGGGCCAATGTACGCAAGCGTACACTGCCCGCTCAGCATTGCAATCATCGGCAAGCCCTCCCCTTAGAGGGTAGGGCTTGCGATGATCGCAAGTACGATCTGACTGTCCAAGATGGGCAGGTCGTAAGAAATTTTAATGACCTTACAACCATCGCACAACGAAAGTCGTGCGATGGTTGTAAGGTGTATGGCCAGCTTTAGGGCAGGTTCACACCATTTTCCAGACCAGATCTGGTCCGGAAATGGTGTGAACCTGCCAGCAGTTCTATTACATTCAGACCAGACAAAATGAGACGTGCAGTATTTTTCTGGTCTGGAACAGTCTGCGCTGGTGTGAACAGAGGCCAGAAATAGCATAGGGATACATTAGGATGCATTTTGGGTCCGGAAACAATCTGGTCTGGTGACCTGGATGTGGCGTGAATGGGCCCTTAATGTTTCACTTTTGAGTGGCCACTACAATTTATTTTACCTAGTAGGTAATCGCAATTTTAAAGTGCACTTTAACCAGTTGACATCCGCGGTGTTAAACCCCCTTCCCATCCAGGCCATTTTTCAGTATATTGGAGTGGAGCTACCCCTGTACGGCAAGAGTTAACTGCACGTTTTGCTCTAGGGGCGGGAATAAAGCAGATACAGTCCCCCAAACCTTGGTCCTGCGGCAGTCATCGCTTGCCTCTCTTCCCCTCCGTTCCAGCTGTGGTCTGTCCCTCTGTATCCTCACGTCTAACTCAGCTCAATAGGCTCCATTAGACATGATGATGTCAGTGGGGCTCAAACCGCCATAGCCCCAGGTAGAAGAGGCTGTGGGGAATGATCTAGCAGCCAGGAGGGGGTATGGAAGATTGGGTAAGTATATTTGCACCGAAATGAAAACATTTCTGAAACAGAAAAAAAAAAAGAAGTCAGGCCGAACCTGGAAATGTTTTTCTAACTTTCGAATACTTTATTTTTATAACCCTTTTTAATTTTTTTTTTAAATATATTTTTAGGTTTTACTTTTAGGGGCTTTGGGGAAATATCGGGGGTCTAAACAGATTCCTGATATTTCCCTTTTAAAATAGAAAAAGATTGGAGAACACAGAGTCCTCAATCTCTTTTTCTGCAGCCCCTGATATGAATGAACAGGAATCCTCTATCCTGAGTGTTCCTGTTCATTCATAACATGAGAACAGAGTGTGTTTACTATAACCACAATCATGAATGAACAGGAAGTGATGTAGATCACTTCCCATTCATTCAAAATTGGTGACGCAGAAACCATACTTTGTCCTCATTTACAAACACTCAGCGATCACCGACTGCTTGTACCCGCTCTCCTCTCTGACACTCTGTCACAGGAGGCTGAGCGAGCAGAGCAGGAGGAGAGCTCAGCCTCCTGTGACAGCAATGACAGCTGTCTCTGCCCATAACGCCACTCTCCTGATCTGTCACAGGAGGCTGAGTGGTGCGGGGAGGAAAGACGCTAGCTGCACACAGCGCGCTCCTCCCACAGCGCTCGGCCGCCTGTGACAGTTTCTCTCCTCCCAGCTGCGACACAGAGCAGCGCCCAGCAGGGAGGAGAGGAAGAACGGATGCAATGCTATTTTGGCCTAAAAAAAAAAAAAAAGGTCATTTTCAACCGATGTTTTTCAGGGGCCGAAATTTCGGTGCATCCCGAATATTTTTTTACATTCTATTTGCGCACCTAGAGAAAGTGAGGGGGTAGACCCACTGTAAGGGTTCACTTTTTACAATCCTGCAGTTCTTTTTTTTAAAAGGAAAAGACCACTTTAAACCACACCAAATCTGCCACGTCTCTCTACTGCCACTGTTCATACTTTTGACTGGAACAACCATCTACCATGTTTCCCCGAAAGGAAGACCTACCCCGAAAGTAAGACCTAGCGCTATCTTCAGGGAATTCTGTAATATAAGACCTACCCCGAAAATAAGACCTAGTTCGGGGTATGTCTTATATTCAATGATGTATCTAGGTTTTTCGCTGCCCCAGGCAAGACTCGCTTCTGCCGCCCCCAACCAATCACCTCGCCACTTCCTGGGTCACAGAGCCGCTGTTCGCCGGCTACAGTAGGATTGTTTCAGTGGCCACCGGCTGCTCTTCAATCTTCAGGTCAGTTCCTCACCATCGTCTACGCTGTCGGCCTCCCAACCTCTTCACAAGTACAAGCAGGCAGGCCGCTCTCCACCCCCAAACAAAAATGGCCTCCCGCTCTGCCCCCCTTTCCACACCGTAGAACAAGGCGTTTGACTACGGCCGCCCCCAGCAAGGTGCCGCCCTAGGCAAACGCCTTGTTTGCCTCGCGGTAAATACGCCCCTGCTTATATTACAGAAATCCTTGAAGATAGGGCTAGATCTTACTTCCGGGGTAGCTGCACATGTAATTGATTTTTACATGTTAAGAGAGGCACAGACAGCAAAAAAAAATAAACTGACAAAGCATTTTAGCTTCCAGTTCTATAGAAAAATAGGTTTTGCCTATACATACACAGTATAGAGGAATTATATTATAGATCAGGGGTAGGCAAATTCTGTCCCTTCAGCTGCAATGCAACTAAAAATGCCATTAGGCATTGTAAGTCAAGAGACACAGACATGATGCGATTTGTAGTTTCACCGCAGCTGGTTGGCCAGAATTAGCCTACCCCCGGTACAGACGGACACGTGAAAGTCTACTGGTTTGCCATTTGTGTCCTGTCAGAAAATCAGGATTTCCCTTCACTTCCTGCACACCGACCCAAACTTGCAGATCAGTACAAGTATGAATGCATGCTCTTGGACGCAGACAATCTGCATCCAAGGGCATGCATGCGTACCTGTATGTGTGTGCAAGTTTGGGTGGCCGTGAAGCTGCGTCCTGACATTGAGCTGCAAGTGCACCGGCTGTCCCGGGCGCAGGTTAGCATGCACACGCACATCCATGTGGCCTTATGGAAGCAGCAAAATGTCTTCTTAGCTTTGGATAGAGTGGGGAAGCATTAGAACCCCAACCAGTTGTTTCTTTTCCCAATACCTGGGGTTCCAGGAGATAGATCCCCCCACCCTGCCGACATTTTACAGGAAGTGAGGGGAACTCTCCAACAGCAACACAGACAGAAATAAAAAGGGCTTTTCTTTAGTAGCGTAGAAGAAGGCTGGAGCCCCGGTCAGATTTGTATTCCTGTCTTGTGTCCCTGTTACAGATTTACCCCTCTCTTCCTTTCTAGTGAATCTGTTGTCTGCAGAACAGGAAATGATAGAAAACACAGCCCTGGGGAGCATGTTTGGCTTGGCACACACTTGAACACAAGTGACAGGCGGCGTCCAATAGATCTGATTTTTGCGCTTGCACACAGTCCTACCTGAGCAAAAATCAATGTAAACAAGAAGGGAAGGTAATGGGAGACACTCAGGACATATATATATTATACATGAGCACAGAACAAGCCATTACAACAACAAAAACCCAGTCACCTAGCTGATAATAAGGATCCTTATCCTTGCTTTAAAGCTTCGGCAATGGAGTTGTTTGTCTTTCAGTCTCACAGGAAGGCCACATGCAGGAGACATGCTGCACTGACCGTGCACACAGCTATGTCCTCCCGTCCTCCACCCATGTGCAATGCACTTCCTGGTCAATGTAAGAAGCTTCCTGATTGGTCATAAGGGAGCTGCCTCTGATTGGCTCCCGCAATTGGCTTGATCCCTCCCATAGATGGGAACTGTAGCTGAGCTGATGGCTGTTGTATGAAGCTGCCTGCTGAGCCTGAGCTAGGGAGGCATGGACAGAATATGGCAGCCTTGGCTCTTTTGTAGTGTTTATAAGAAAATCAGTAAAAGCTCCTGATAGTGGCAGGATGTGAGTGCTGGCAACCTGCACCAAGCCGTTATATGTCACAGTTTAAATCACTTAAAACGGGTGGGCAAACTCTGGCCCTCCAGCTGTGGTGAAACTCCAAATCCCATCATGCATCTGCCCCTGGGAGTCATGCCTAAGGCTGTGAGAATCTTGCAATGCCTCATGGGACTTGTAGTTTCACAACAGCTAGAGGGCTGGAGTTTGCCCACCCCTGAAAGAAACTTAACTCCTTACATGGTAAATTCTGAGGGGGGAATTTATCAAAAACTGGAGCAGACAGACTCTGAAGCAGTCGCCCACGGCAAACAATCGGCTTCTCTCTTCAGTTCATTCTGTTAAGCTTTGAAACTGAAAGAGAGAAGCTGATTGGTTGCCATGGGCATCTGCTCCAGATTTTGCCTGCTCCAGTTTTGATCAAATACCCTCTGAATTTTTTTGGCTAGACAGCAGCTTAAAACTCCCAAGCAATTCTATGAGGGGAGTTTATGAAAATCGGAGCAGGTTCAATTTGAAGCAGTTGCCTATGGCAACCATTCAGCGTCTCTCTTTTATTGTCAAAGCTGAACTGAATATAGAAGCTGATTGGTTGCCATGGGCAACTGCTTCCAGATATTTTCTGTGAGCAGAGGCCCTGTGGAATAAAAGAAAAATGCTAGGTGCAGTTTTTTTTTTAATGTTGCACGATGTTTGCGCAAATTATAATCGATTTTTTAGGAAAAACGTAACTTTTAGTGTACACAA